CCCCTGGCCCCCCCCCCCAGCTGGTCATCACATTCGTGCGCAACCTGCTGACCGTACCAGACCCGCCGCCGGGGGAGGCCAGGGCCGGCGGCCGCCGCTGCAAGATGCAGGTGCGCCCCCCTTGGGCGGCGGCACGTGCCTGCCTGATACCGGTCCCTCTCGCGCAGCGCAGCACCCGTGCCTGCATAGCCTGGACACGCACGCACATGCTCGCAAGACCGCCCATGCAGACGCAAACACACAAACACACACACACACACACGCACACACACACACACACACGTACCCAGCCCCCTCTCCAATTCTGCCTGTTGCTGACACCCGCATGACATCACACCTTCACACGTGTACGGCGCTCGACGCGCGCCCCGCGCCCCGGCTGCGTCCCCGCAGGAGGAGCTGCTGCTGCTGCTGGCTGACGAGGCGGCGCTGGAGCTGGTGGCGCTGGCGGCCGGCCACTCACGAGACAGGCCCTTCAAGTGAGAGGGCGGGGCGAGGAGGGGGGCAGAGGCGCAAAGCGGGGCCGGTGGGCTCGCGGGTCCACGCCGGCTGGGAGCACAGGGGACGCCACCTGGCGCCGCGGCCGCCCCGTTCCGCCCCCCGACCACCAGCCTGCGCGCCCAAGCAGCGTCCGCCCCGCCGCCGCCCCCGCGCGGCGCCGCACGCGCGCCCGCCGCACACTCGCCTGCCCCTCGCGCGCCCGTCCCGCCGCCGCAGGTCTGACGCTGTGCTGCTGCTGGACGCGCTGTGCGAGGTCTTCAAAGGCGTCGACCCCGCGGCCGTTGCCGCCGCCGAGGCGCCCGCCGCGCGGCGCGCCGCCGCGCAGGCGGCGGGGCCGGCCGGGCGGCCGAAGGTGCGCGCGCGAGCACGTCGGGGCGCCCGCCCCTCCGCCTCTGCTGATTTGCACCCGCCAGACGCTGCTGATGGAGGCGCCTGTGCGACAGGGGAATTTCCCCTCCCGCAGCCCAGTTACCCAGCAATTGCGGCGCCGCTTGACCCCCGGCGTCCCTTCTCCGCCACCCCTCACGCCCCCAGCCCGCCCCGCGGGCCCAGGGGCCGCCCCCGAGCATGCGCCACGGCCGCTTCAAGTCGACCCTCGTGACGCGCCACGCCGACTCGGCGCGCGCAACATACCAGCGCGTCGGCGGCGGCGCTGCGGGCGCTGCGGCGGCGGCGCCGGCGATCAATACAAAGGTGCGGCGCCCTCCTCGCCCCAGCTGGGTGCCCGCGCCTGTCCGTCGGCGTCCCGCTGTTCGGCTGGTGTGTCGAGGCATTGATGCGGACCCCCAGATGTGAAAGATCCAACAGGGCAGGGCCGGATGTTTGGCCGGCGGGCCTGCGGCCCCACGCTGAGGCGTTTTGATTTTAACGTGCTGCTCACACCAGGCAGGCGAATTGCAACCCGACCGCACGCCCACTGCGTCTCCTCCATGCCGCCCACAACACCTGCCTGTGCCGGCCGCCGGCCCCACGAGCCGCCTTTCTCCGCAACAGGCGCCTTGAATCCTCCGCCCATCCCACCAACCAGCCCCCGCCCCGCTCTTTTCCACAACCCCGCCAGGTGCCCGACCCCCCGTCGCACAGCGCAGGCGGCGCGCTGCTGTGGCAGCTGCGGCGCTATGCGGACTCCCTCCTGGAGGGCCCATACAACGTGCTCATGGCCCACATCAGGCGCGTACGTAACTGGAAGCGTCGCGGCGCCGCCGCGCGCGCCGCCCAAACCCTCCGCCTGTCCCTGCCACGAGCGCGGTCGCGGCGCGCCGCGGCCGCCCGGCGCCGGCCCTTTTGCGGCGGGGCACGCGCCGCGCGCCGCGTATGTCGCTCTTCGCGCCCCTTTGCGCGGAGGGGCCTTCCCGTTCCCCGCCGCCGGCCTGCGTTGGGAGACGTTTTGCCTGGGGCCCGTTTCCCGGCCTCGGCGCGCCGCCCTGCAGGCTGGGGGCCGCCCCGTCCGCCGTTCATATACAATGACCCTCCCCCCACCTGGAAGGATAATGAAACCTCAACTTTCCTCCCTTTCCCGCCCCCTCCTGTTGCCTCCCACCCTCAAAAACATGACACCAACCCAAAGGGCTCAGCTCGAGCCGGGACTGGGCATCAGCCGCCTGGAGGCGGCTGATTTTGTCAAGTGGATGACCCTGGCTTCCTGGGCCACAGCCTACGTGCGCGCCAAGCAGGTGCGCCGCGTACACACGCGCACGCACGCGCCACGCGCACGTGCGTGGTGTTGCCGCCGCGCCGCGGGGCGCCGCGGGCGCCGACCCGCTGCGGGCGCGCGGCGTGCAGGGTTGGGGTGGAGGGCGGCGAGCGCGTTGGGGCCCCTGCTGGCGCCCTGCTGGCGGCGTATCATGCCAGTCCCTAATCAACGGCCTTGGCTGGGGCCGCTTTCGGCCGAAAAACGGGGGCGCCCGCTCTAGCTGTGCGAGTCTCAAATACCTTGCAGGTCTGCTGTGCGCGCACGATCACACCCCCCCCCCACACACACACACACGCGCGCACGCGCATATGCGTGGCGTGCGCAGGAGCGCGAGCTGGAGGCGCGCGGCGGCCGGCGGCCCGAGGAGGGTGCGGCATCGCCGTTTGGGTGCATCAGCGCCACCATGGGGTGGGAGACCTTTGCCTTAGTCCACAAGCTGTGGGTGGAGCAGGTGAAGGGGGGGCGTGAGGGCGCGCCGTGATCTGGCAACCACACGCCGCGCTGCGACTTGCGTGGCGCGCCACGCACTCTTTTCGTTGCGAGCGGCGTATTTGGGTTTCGGGCGGGGCGCAGACAGGTGGCCCTCCGCTGGGCTCTAGGCGCATGCTGTGGCGGCCGCCGCCGCGTCCTCGTCGCGGCGCCGCCGATTTCCCCTCACTTTGGACGCCTTGCATGGCCTTCAGCATGAATTTTTCCCGCAGCTTGCCCACCACATGCACATTTAATCATACCCGACCCTCGACCCTCCCGTCGCACCCCTCCACCTCCATCCCCCTCCAAACCCCGCAACGACCCCCCACCACCCGATAGGCGGAGATAAACCCAGGCCGCAACAACTCCAAGGACTGGCCCCTGCAGCACTGCGCCACGCGCCTGCTGCGCGAGGTGCTGGGCGTGCTGGACCTGGCGGACAGGGCCGGCACCCGGGACGACCGCCACGCGGCCGACAGGCTCGCGCGCAGGTGGGGGGTCGCGCGAGGGCGGCGGCCGCCGCGCTGCACTTTGGGCCGCCGGCGCGGCGGCTCGGCGGCTCGCGCCGCTTGATCTTGCCATGGTCTCAAAATGAAAGCGCCGGACCAAAGCGGGGCTTGCGGCGCGCCTCGAATCCGGGCGGGCCAGCTGAGGCATAGCATTTCTGCGAGGGCTGCCTTTTGTTTTCGCGTGCGCACGGGGTCGGACGACCCCGGTGCAGGTCTGCCCGCCGCACCGTTTGCTGGCGATCGCCCCCACCCACGCACCCCCTCGGACCCATGATCAAACCAATCACACAAATATCAAAGCCTTCCACTCACCAACGGCCAAACAAACGATCCGCAAGACCCATCCACGACTCTATGGCCCATCCACCAACTCGCTCGCTCAACCCCTCTCTCTCACTCACCCCCCCCTCCTCAACCCCAGCCGCATCCTCAACCCGCACCGCCTCCTCAAACCCAACTGCCCCCTCAACTGTGGACTCTACACCCCCCCCTCCCTCCCCCCCTGATTCAGGCTGCTCCACGATGACATGAAGGAGAGCGGCCTGCTGCCCGTCCTGGCGAAGCTCATCAAGAAGTTCAGCGCGAGGTGGGCCCCGCGCCACAGCAGCCGGGTCGCATCGCCGGGGGCGCAGGGTGGGGTGTTTCTAGGGGCGCCTGGAAGGGAGCGGCGCGGTCAAACCTTGGGATGGTGGAGGCGCGAAAGTTCTGAAGACGTGTCGGGAGCCTGTTTTGGGGGCCGCCGCCGGTCGGTGCCGGGCCAGCCAGGGCCGCGGCCCGCGGTTGAGTTCTGCGCCTCAGGCGGGAGGCGCGGAACGCTCTGCTTGATCCGCGCCTCCCGCCGCCGACACCGCTATCGCCACCGACCTCACTCCCCCCCGCCTCACCCCCTTCAGGCACGAGCCACGCAGCGCGGCGTGCGTCTTGGCTGAGGCGGTGCACCTGGTGCTGCGGCTGTACGACAGGCTGGTGGCGCGGGAGGGCGGGAAATTCTATGTCAGGTGGGGTGCGGGGTTACGTTGCTGACGTCACACACTCATCACACAGCATGTGGCGTTCGCCTCGCAGCACGCGACACGCATCACGTTATGCTCGTGACGCAAGATTCATAGAGCGCAACGTGCAATACGTGATGCTTGACCGGCGAGAGGGGTGGCCCCATGCATTTGCTTCCGTCTGATTTTTTTTCGTGTTTTTGAGGGGGGGACAAAATGCGATGCAATATGAGTTGTTTGGGTGTCAAGAGGGGCCCGGCGCAGGGGGGGGGGGTTCCATTTGGGCGGGTGTGAGGCATGCGCCGAGCGGACACGACTGTGTGTGTTATGGCGGCGCGGGCGGGGGGGGGGGCTTGTTGCAGCGGATACGTGGTCAAGGGGGTGGGGCTGCTGTGGAAGGTGCGGAGAGACCAGGGGTGGCGGGGAGAGCAGAGGTTTGGCGCGGCCGGCGCTTACGCGCGCTACCGTCATGCGCTCACGCCTCGCCGCCCGCTCCGCCGACGGCCGGCCCCGCGCGCACGAGGACCCCCGCGCACGCTGACCCTACCCTGCCGTGCTCGGCTTGTCGCTCCCAGGGCGCGCCGCGCGGGCGGCGGGCGGCGGCGGAAGCTGCGGGACGCACTGGAACCGGAGGCAGCGGCCCCGCCCCCGCTGGCGCAGCCAGACGCGCCCCCGGCGGGCGCTGTGTCAGGAGCTGAGCAGCAGCCGGGCACAGAGGCGGGCAGCGCGGCCGAGGCGGCCGCGGGCGGCGAAGCAGCAGCAGGCGGGGGCGCGGCGGACGAGGCCGTGCCTGTGGGGGCCGCGGCTGAGCGAGCAGCGGCGGCGGAGGAGGGAATGGGCTTGCGGTTGGGGCCCATCAGCGACGACGAGGGCGAGGGGCCGGCGGCTGCGGGGGAGGCGGTGGCGCCACCTCCACGACAGCAGCAGCAGCAGCAGCAGCAGCCGGGCGCCGACGCTGGTGCTGCCGGCGAGCACGAGGGCGGGGGGTCGAGGCGGGCCAGCGCTGAGCCAGAGCCGCCGGCGGCGGCGGCCGCGCCGGCCCCCGCTATCACAGCCGTCGCCGCAGGCGGCGCGGTGGCGGCCGCGGCGGCGGCGGCGGCGCCCGGCGCGCGGGCGGGGAGCGAGGAGCC